ATTATTTCAATTTATTTAATATAAATTGGTGAAAATTAAATATATATATATATATAATTTCCACCAATTTCCAACCAATATAACGCAAAATTTAAATGCTTCGTAATTTTTAAACCAGTCAAGATTACCAAAAAATTTAAAGTACCAGATATACGGAACATTAACTTTAACAACATATATCAAGGTCATGATCATACGAGGGATCCCCTTTTTTGAATAATTAACGTGACTACCTCATTCCTATTATATTTCTGTCAATATCTCGAAAACTAAAAAAAGAAACCGCCGTTTTTAAAATAAAAATAAAAATCACATATTTTCTCATGCTTTATACAAAACTTCTATTAAATTAATCAAAATGTTTTACTTAAGTAAAGAATTCCGCATCACGTAATAATGAATGTTAATAAAGTATAACATAATATGTTGTGATCTCCGTAACAATATACACTTGATATTTGTACAAGATACTTTCATGCATTTACTTTACATTTGAGTGTAAAATCGACGTTCGGATATCGAAAACATACATGATTTAAACAAAGATTTTTGGTTAATTTAATAATGTTATCCCACAATATAATAAAAATGTAACATAGATTATTTATATTAATGCAATTCAAACCACAATAAGTATAATTATAAGGGATGGTAAAAAAGTTTCTAACCGTGGCTAGTGTAGTAACTATGGAGATTACAAATTAGTGCAAATTACAGTGATAGAAAGATACTAGAAGAGAACTTCAACTTATAAAAGTATGGCCTATCCTGAATTCGAGTTGTAGAGGTAAAATACGTACTGAACATGAGTCGAACATTTCGAGGTACATATGGAGATTTTATGTTTCGAGTTATAGAGGCTTTCAACTTACTGAATCTTGACTGTATTTTATAACAAACCTTAACATATGTAATGAATTATCATATTTGATAACGAAATTTTTTAATGAAACAATAGATGATAAAGAAATCCATGTCAAAGTATGATAGATTTCAGTGAAATAACATTGACTGTTGTTTAAAATGCTACTACGCCAGTTTGAAATACTAGCGGAAAACATGGTTCTACAGTAACACTACATTTATCCCAACTCTGCTCATCCAAATTACATAGTTTTGTCATAGGTTAAATGTTAAAACAAAAAGCAGTGTAATTGGATAAAATATATCTGTGAGTGAAAATCCAGTTATATGGAAATTACTTCCATTAATTAGTAACGAAAGAGATAATTGGTAGACTCTTATTATCCAAGATTATATGAACCATCTTGTCTTCCGATGGATTCGGTAAATCAATTGGCATCATTCGCCGTACATATATGCGAATTTTTCTGACCATTACCTATCACTATATTAATATGTTAAATTTAATGAAAAAATTTGATAATATAGCTGTATTTTTTATTTTATTTTATACTGTAAATGGGTTCTACTGTAAATAGTGTTCTACTGAATTTAAATGCTACGTATCTGTGTCAGATTTACGTTGACAAATTTCAAGCGAGAGAAAAGTAATTAGTCAATTAATATTCAGAATTCAGAAATAAAACATCACTATTAAAACTTTTACCAAAGCAAAAGGTCAAAATTTTAATAAAATCCTTGGTGCTAATTATTATTAGAATAAACTGGTAATTGTTATACATTACGTATATATCTGTATTGAATATGTATTCGAACACGTGGCAATCGACGATATTATTTCCATGTAGATTTTAAGTGGTCTTTTTGTTCACGATGAACAAAGATCATAGAAACATCTCTACGTCCACGTCAAATTATTATTAAAAGTGTACGAGATCTAAACCTTCTTTAATGCTTTGTCCTATAATTTCTTCCTGAGCTTGATAAAACTGTCGTTAATAATTTATCAAAAAAAAGAGATGAGAGACTGATAATAGAAAAGTGATATTCAATTTACATTAACACTGTTCCTACCGAAAGTGTGAAAATACACCTTCTGAAATTTTAATTTAAGATTATTTTCCAAGTTTAGTCGTATAATCTGAATTGACTGTTCGACTTTTCCAATAACGATTATAAAATTAACTGTAGGAAATGTCTAAAATTCAATTGAAGACAAATTATTAAACTAAGAAAACAATTATACGTTAAAATTTCAAAAGTTGTCTGTTGACACCTTTGGTAGAAGTATTGTTAGAAAACTTCAAATAACATTTAAATTTATCGAATTTACTTAAAAAATTTCGTCGCGAATCATGTGTGTAATGGCTATTTCGATCTGTGATATCTAAACCCGAAAGTTACAAATGGATAATTCAATTATTCAGATAACGAGAGATTGATACATGGTTTCAAACTTCTCTTGTATTTAAGACTTCGATGTTATAATTCAGTCATCTACACTACAAGATTGTAGAAGTTTAACAAATTCCCAAAGGGTGTGAATTTATGAAAGAGATTTAAATCGAATAAAAAATTTCAAATGCATGATGTACTTAGGAAACTTCTGGTTGCAAATTACGAAGTATTTCTTAAACTCCTATAAGTACCTTTAGAAAAATACTTCTTCTATTACTTATTTCCTCAAATGGTTATATTAGGTGATTAAAATGTCAAACACATATATAACACAGTACTTAATTCTTGTTCTCCCAAATGGTTGTCGAGTTTCTATGTAAATCTAATACTAAATCAGGTAACATTCATTCGATGAAACGTGGAAAAAGTATATCAGCGGATAATCAACTGACAATGAATTGGGTAGGAAATGAAATAAAATCACCAGCTAACTATGTGACAGTGAACGTACTGAAATCGATCGAAAAACAATACTTTAAAATCACTCGATGCGGTTAATTGAACACAATGGCATCGTCGGTGTCGTCGGTGTCGGCGTTGCCGTCGGCGTCAGCGTCGGCGTCGACGTCGACGTCTGGGATTTCAAGGGGTGCAAAAAAACGAACGGCTTTATCCACGCGAACTGCGGTTACTAGTGTGAATGTGAATGTGAACGTGGGAAATGAAAATGGACTAGCTGTGAGTCTAAATGGTAGGGAGACTCGTGATTCGGGCTTATCCTCGGACAGTTCAACGCCGACGGCGGGTTCGCCTGTGTCCAGGCAACGAAAAACTAGCAGCAATTCAGTTAATGTCGCTCATCCTTCTTCCATACCGCGAGCCATCGTTAATGCCACAAGGTATATTTATTCCCTTAACACGTTGACTGCGTTTGACGAGTATACGCGTCAACTTATAAGCTTGAAATGATACTAATTCTTTCAGCGATGAATTCTTTATTTTTTCAGATAAATATGCAATTCTTCGTATTTCTTCGGCTTTTTATTAAAATGTAGCCTAGGTGCATTCGTCTTACGTTTGACGAGTAGACACTTCATTTTTCAATTTTATTGCGCGCAAAACGAAAGAATTTTTAAAATAAATTTGACAGTTGACATGTTAACACGTTGACTGCCAAGGTAATCATCGATGACCGAAGTTTCCCAATTGCTTAAAAACAATTGCAATAAGAAAATTGATGTCGAATAAAAATATTTAGTAATTTAAGTAGCTATATGATAGTGTGACATTAGTACTATAATACCTCAGAAATAATCATTTCTAGTTGAGTAAGGGCGCCTGATATGGAACATCACAATATTTTGGAAAATAAATAGCTTAATGTGTCAGTTACAACGGGAAATAGTTCATTCATAATAGAAAAAAAATCATATTAATAGTTGGACATTAATTAAAAATTCTTTCACTGAATACGAAGCGTTATTGTGTTTAGTAGTACGTTAAATTTTCTAAAAGACGAATTAAATAATCAAATTTCTTAATACAAATAGGCCAACAAATTTTATTTTTTCATGATTTGTCATTGAACATGTTTGTTTTTCACTATTTAAAAGAAATTTGCTGCTTTATTTTCTTCATAGAAAAATTAGTATTTAACTTTCAGAATACGTGGGTCCTAGTACAGAATACGTTCCATATTGGGTGCACATTCTTTGTTTATATTACATAATTTTGTGTTATATTTTTACTTTATGGAGGCAATTACAAGAATGATAATAATAGAGAAAAATATATGTCATGCATTGTGTTCACAAAGAATGTAGTAGTCCCAATATGTTACTCGTATATCCAAGATATAGAAGGAAGAAAAGCAAAAAATTAACAATTTCTTGTGACAAAAATAAGTTTTATTTACAAATTACGTAGGTGTTCCATATTAGAAGCCATTTTTACAAATCTTGGTTTGAAGGCATTTAAATTTTTGCCTTGTTAGCGTATAAATATTTATTGATTTCTTCGGGTTTTGATGCAGGTTTCATTGGAAAAATGCAGATCTATCGGTTTTACAAGCTTTTAAAATCGCGTGTTCCATATAGCGTAGGTGCCTTTAATCTACCATTTGTCATTGTTACGAAAAAATAAATATCATATAAAATGCTTAAAATTCTTATGGCAGTCAACATGTTAACACTAAAACTACTAAACAATTAGAGTGGTTTATTTATAATTTCTTGTAAAACTTAGAAGATTATATTATTATAATATTGTATATTGTTATTATTTGAGATTCCAAAAGTCTGTTCTTAATTAATCGATAGATACTCTCGGTTAGCGCTCGTTGCGCTTTCGATTCGATCAAATATTGTTCAAGTGTTTACAATGCATGCGTTCAAACTATGAACTCCGGTTCGATTTCAATTTGAAAACAATTAACGAAACAAGAATATTGAATGGAGCGTGTGCTAATTGAGAGTGGATCGATAATGTGTATTGGACCGTACTGTTTTATCTATGCAAATACATAAATTTATTTTACAATTTCTCACGAAAGCATCATCGTAAATGGATTATTTTAACCCGTTTGATAATTCTATCGTTAAAACGATATTTGAGTATTTTTCATTTTTCCGCGCTTTGTAAACGGATCGAATGGATTTTGCCACTTTCGCTTACAAGAACATAAATATTCGAATGTTCGAACAGAAAGTAATGATATTTCTGTCTGCTTTTTGTTTCAGAAATGATAACGACAAAATGACCAAAGTATGGCGGAGTAGGTCTGTGACTGATTCGCCACGTTTCGCAGACAATTTACGAAACCGACAGTTTTCGAGTCCTTTAAGAACATCAAGAAATGTAAGTCAAATTTTCTTTTTTTGATTATAGCTAATAACACGAACGATTGTTCGTTCAGGAAAAAGCAAAAATGTAAAATAAAGGCTTTCCATATAGGAACTCATTAAGAATAGTTTCAAATTCGAAGGAAAATATGAAAATACACTGTATATCGAAAGTTTAACAAAAACATACCCTCTAATGAATTTTTGGTTGATTCTTCTATCGTATGTTTAGCCCTTTGCAATCGAAAGTTTCTCAGTAGAAATATTTAATATTTTTTTACGAGACAAAGACGATATTCTTTGAAACTAACTCAAAGGGAGATCACAATATATTGAGGAACAAAGCTATTTTATTCTAATATTTCATGTATTTCGGCATTATACAAAGTTCAACATAAAATATCAGATGTTATAGTTTTACTGCGTCAAATCAAATGGTGACTGGGAGTCACCTCTCGAGTACAAAGGGCTAAAACTATAGAACGAACGCAATTGTTGTGCTACTGAAGGCACTAAAGCCAGCCCAAATTATATAGGAACCTCCTCCAAAATTTTGTTTCAAACAATATTTCGACTCTTTTCTCAAATATTATCAACAAGATCTAAATAGTATCAACTGAATCGATCATCTGATCCGTCGAGATTAAATTTTTTTTCGTTACTCTAAATTACCTAAAACGAACGTACATTTATATACTTCTTACTAAAATAAAAAATGTATCTTGTAAAATTACATTGTCCCATTCGGAAGTCAACGTCATATGATTCTTAGCGAAAACAAAACGACAATTCTTATGATTCTGCTTCAAATTTAGACGATTCATCATTTTTGTACGGGCAATATTAGAGTTCTTGTTGAGAACTCTGAAAATTGACATTCTTTATACATTTAACCCCAAAGAAGAAGAATGAAATTGAACAAAACTTCTAACAATTATAGAATTTCCGTAAAAAATGGGCAGTAAAAGGCCAAAATAATTCATAATATGTATTAAAAATAACTCAAGATGTTCTTACCCAAGGTATCATTAATATTATTGATACTCGTCGTAGAGTTTATACGTTTTCGGATTCGCCAGAAAATTTCGAACAACACGATCCTATCGCTTTAAGGTTCTAGAGCTATTTATCTTTTAAATTTTCGTGCTGAGGAAAGTGACATTATTTGTCCTTTTTCAAAATCAGTCGATTTATTTGACTTTCCCATCGTAGCGGTACCAACCAATAATATACAGTAAGAATAATAACACCTGTAAATAACAGTAGTAACAATAACAGTACTAATAATTATAACAATGCACTAACGAATTTCAGTAAATAATAAGGAACAAATAATTACGCACGTCAATTTCTAACTTTTTGTTGGTTAATCGTATTTTATTTACTTCTCTTCCGTTTTCGTTCCCTAGTAACCCATTTTGCGGCTATCTTCATACTAACTCTCTTAACAATTACTACATTTATTCCTATAATGAACATAGTTATTGATTTACAATATGAATTTGTAAACAACAAAAAAAGCAAGTGTGTCTAAACTTCTGATACGGCCCTTTTTAATGTTTTGGCTAAAAATTCTTCCCTGTAGTTCCACATATAAATGGTTTTACTGGTAATCATAATTTTTTAAAGTATTGTCAACATACGATAAAAGAAATCAATGAAAAATTCATCAAGAAGTATGTTTTTGTTACAAAAGTATTGTGCGTCGTAACTTTTGATACGCAGTGTATCACTGTCGATTGCGGTAAACTTCCACAATGTGGAAGTGATAACTCTATAAAGTGCAGTTTCTAAGTGAAGGTATCTTCTAGGCTAACGGGTTTGGTATTTTAGGACAGAGAATAGTGAACTGCATCCATTACGTGTACATCTACTATCATAGAAACTCTTTGATTGCAGCATAAAATTTCGAGTATCTAGAATCCTCAGAATCGAGGTAGTGCTGGATAATTAAATAATAGTTGAACTACATAGATGACACAATAGAAATGAGGAAAATAAGTTCAAAAATGACCATGAATGATATAATAATGCAATTTATTAATGAAAGTACGATACATTAATGTAGTGTATAGAAATTACTATACTGAACATTATTAACAGTGTATAATGATGTACTAAAAAAGAATATAACTTCAATACTACATGCCAGCTTTTCAAACAGTGCTTGTGCCTTATAATTTATTATTTTTCATTGAGAAATTCATTTTGAGGCATATGGAAAAATATTTACGGAAATATTCCTTTATTTGTGTGAATTACGATTCACAAAGATGCCGGATAATCAGAAATTTATTGTATATCTTCTTTCCCCACATACAAAGGTATTAACTAGATTGAATAAAACTATTAATTCTTATAAATGAAAATTATTTGTCAAACTTTCAACTTTTAAGCCACTTCTTTTCAGTTTTATGTATACTCTGTACATTAACCCTTTAATTCTGTTGTATGGATTCAGATTTAACAGTTATTTCATATTCGAATTATATATAAACGTTCTGGAGCACCATATACACTTTTGAACAATTACTGAAAGGTGATATATAAAAGTTAGGAATATTTTTTAATTAACATTATTTAAAGAATCCAAAGCAAGATAAACATAGAAAAGAAAGTACACTGTAATTCTCATACAGAATGTTTATCTAAAAAAACCCTAATAAACATAAGAAAAATTTTAGTAATTTCTCAAATATAAATATTTTGACATGCTAATATCATAATAGATTTAGGTACTCTTAGTTTTCGATAATTGGAGAAGACATTCCTCATAGGTCGATAAATGACTTAAAAAAATCACGTAATCGGAACCTATGTACATGTTCCTTACATAATTCAACAGGCATCTGAAATTTTTGGGAGACTTCACAATTTTATAAGCGTAAGCCTACCATAGTTTTGGATTTTCCCAAACTTATCTGTGTTTATTTTTAACCGGGGATTGAAAAGGTTCCGAAAATAACTGTTTAAAACTGTTATATATCGGTTTCGACTAGAACAGTTATGAAGAACCAAAATAAAGTCATAATTATTATTAGATACATCGATTTCGGTTTCGGTTCTACAGAAACAATATTATATCGGTTCTAGAACTGTTATTTTTCGGTTCTTCATGTCGATTCTGTATTTCTTTCAAAATCCAAAAATAACAGTTATATAGAACTAATATGCAGATACATTTTCGGAATGTCGAGCCATGCGAATGCGTCCTATCAGGATTACTACAAAACTCTGACAAGACTATTATAAGATTGATATAAGACTGCTCCTGAAATACTGATTTTGTAAAGAACCCCATACACGCTGAAATATACGGCGATGCAAACGGCGTCTTCTAAGTTTGATGAAACCTGGCATCGGAGTCAGGCTGTCCACACACGTTGAAACAAGCTACGACTCCTAGGTTTCACGAGTCTTGCTTTAGTATCAAGCCTTCTATTGGCCAGTTCCCCTCTAGAACACTATTTTCACCCCAAAGTGCCATTTTGAGCGTTTTTCAGCTTGAGGGTTTAGTCGATGAACTCATTGGATTTTTCTGTTTGTCGTGTATCACAAACGTTTAAACAATGAATTCAAACTGTCCATTGAACTTCCGTTACTTGCATTATTAGCCTTAATAGGGGCAGCAAATTTAATTAAAAAAAGTTCTGTACGATACAGTATTCTCGTTATCAGAGGAGACGATGGATAAGTTATAAAAAGTAAACGTAAAACTAATTGGTCATTCAATATTAGAATAATCATTCCAAAAATTAGTTGGAAAATTCATTATAAATTGATATCAAGTATATCGAAGGAATCGTACAATTTTTGTATGTCAGAGCTTTAGTCTGTAGAAATAAAATAGCTTCAAATTGTGTTGTTACACAATTCTTCGCAAACATTCTTTATTGTCTAACCGATATGTTCAAAACAATATGTCTTTAAACTATTGATATTCATATTTTGGCAAATACATTATTACTACTAAAAATTATTCCATTTAATAATTTTAATGTTAAAAAGATAATGAATTAATTTTCGAGTTTTATTAAGGACAATCATTTCCACGTTTACGTCTATTTTTTATAACTTTCACGCCATTTTCAAGGTAAATAATTACGCATTTTAAATTCGATAAAACGTACAGAATATTGTCGTGTTAACAAATTTCTACTGGTAGCCAGGTTTAAAATCGGTCCATTTTTATCATCAACTTTTGCAAGTAAAAAAAGGGGCACACGTTCCAAGTACCGTGTCATTGTCCTACAATGGAAAACATTCCATTGTACAGGTCTCTTCTACTCATGTTTCACTGGAGTCTTTCCTCACCAACCGGAACTCCTGATCCCTGCCTTGACTCTACTTTAGTTCTAGGCGAACGTAAACTGTTCATTTTTTTCTATTTTAAACCGTCTTTCCTTTGCCAACTAATGCAGGAGTCCGACTCCGGCATCGGTGCCAGTTACCGAAGCTTCCAATTCACTGCCTTTGTCCTACTACACACGCCTCAATTTGCATTGTGAAACTCAGGAGTCTCCATTTGCATCGCCGCATGTTTCAGCATGTATAGAGTCCTTAAGACTGTCACGAGATTGATGTGAGACTGATCCTTCGGGTATCGATCCCCACCCTCGGAAGATCATTAGCTTTCCTTGAGAACATCGACAGGAAAAACGTCCTTATCCTCATCTGTTTATCCCTCGTTGCAATTTTAACATCTGCTGGCCCTTTACGAACGTCGACGACGTTGACGAACGACACCGCGTTTGTGCAGTGTCGTAGTTCGCGCGGATCGATTGCCCGCATTTTTATTCCTAGCCAGTTTTCCGACGTTTCTTACTACGCGTAAGCAATCTAGGTGATTTACTGGGATCGCGAGTTTATTAGAGTTTTCACAGTAAAGTGGTTGACGAGGAAGGAGTAGTGCTCAGAAGTTGTTTACTCGGATTAGACTAATTTACACTTGTTGAATGTTGGATTAGATTGATTTGAGGTTGGGAAACAGTAGTTGATTCAGGTAGTAAAATGGTA